CCATGGGCTGCTCCTCCAGGATGGAGAAGGAGCACGGAAGGAAGTCCCCCTCGATCTGGACCTGGGCTGGGCAGAGAGAACAGGGGCAGCGTTCGTTACTTCCGCCCAGAAGCCAGGCTCCGCCCAGGGAAGGTGTTGCAGAGCCGGCCCCCCAAACACCTACCCAGGTGCACCCTGCCAATGATCTTTTGGGTGCCGACGCCTCGGGCGATGCCAGCCCAGCGCCGGTCCACCAGCCGCATGATGTTGCACCTCTCCGCACACGCCTGGCTCATGATGGTCATCTGGGCGCCTGCCAAGAGGGCATGCCCGGTTGAAAACATGCCCCCCACTTGGGGGGGCTCTTCCCAAGGGCCACCTCAGCCCTGCCGCCCGCCCGCCCGCGGGCTCCTCCCTGGACCGGCAAGGCCCCCTGGAACGCTTCGCGGCCAGCTGGGTGCCGGCCCCCCCGGCTGGCAGCCCCGCTCCACGGCAGCAGGAAAGGGAGGGGGCCGCAGGAGCAAGACGGACCCGAGTCCACGAAGGCCTTCACGGGGTGGCCGTTGACCTTGCAGTTGATGTAGAGCATCACCACCTGGCCAAAGCTCTCGGGAGCCTCCTCCATCGCGATGGTCATGTTCTCCTCGATGTTCTGCTGCCTGGGCCCAACAGCAAAGCCGGGTGAGAGGCTTCCCAGTGCCAGGCCCGCCAGGCCCGCCCGCCACAGCCCCTGGGGCTGCTACCTGATGTCCTCCTCAATCTTCGCCTGAGCTTCCAGGTCAAAAGGGTCAGCGGCGAAGAGGCGGATCCTCTCCTGCTCCCGGCGCGCTCGATCCTGCTGCTGCTCGACCAGCACTTGGGTGAATTTCTCTGGGGTACAAAGCACATTGGGTGGAATTCGCGGTGCAGAGCAGCGCTGCCGAAGGCCTGGGCCACGGCCCCTCTCTGCCCGCGCTTCCCTCCAGACCGCAGAAGGGAGGCCGTCCACCCGGAGACCCCAGCAGCCCGGGGCTTCCCCCGGCAGGACTCACCCAGGTCTCCGCTGAGCAGGGCCTCGGCCAGAGGAGGGTTGCGTTCCTTCAGCAGGGAGAGCTCGTGGGGGTTGGCCAGCAGCATGGCTCGCAAAAGGG